TATATTAATAAGACCATCTAAGATTTCTGCTACAAGTAACTTCAGTTTTAGAGAAATAATTTAGAAGTCATCAGAATGAAATCAAAATTTGGCATACAGCAACACAGTTCTAAGAGGGATATATATATACATACATACATATATATATATATATATATATATATATATATACATATATATTCAGAAAAATCTCCAATAACTTAATGATCTTAATGATGTTCTCATGGTTGCAGGAAAACAAGCCAAACCTAAAGTCAAAGAATGGAAAGAAATAATGAAGACCAAGGCAGAGACTGGTAAAAACAGTGACTAAAAAGCAATGTGAAGAATCAATGAAACTAGGAATTGGTTCTTTGAAAAGATAAACAAGAATGACAAAATATTAACAAAATTAGCTAAAAGAGAAAACAAAATTAGAAAAAAAAAAACTAGAGATGAATATGGGTATATTATAGCGGATTTCAATGAAATTTGGAGACTCGTTGGGGATCATTCAGAAAACATGGTACCCGGTCCTGAACTCATTGCATGAGTTGGCTGTTTGAAACCTGGGGCTTATGCAGGGACGCTTGGCTCAGTCTGGGAGGAGGGGACTGGACCTGCCTGGACTGAGTCTACCAGGTCGATCTCAGTCCTTGGGAAAGGCTTTGCCCTGGAGGAGGTGAGAATGGAGGTGTGCTGGGGGGAAGGAGAGGGGGGCAGGAGGGGGGAGAACAAGGGAATCTGTGGCTGATATGTAGAACTGAATGGTGTTGTAAAATAAAATAAAAGGAAAAAAAAGAAAACATGTTTTTTAATGGAAAATCTAAAGCAAATGGGTAAGTTTCTATGCACAAATCACCTACTAAAATTAAGACGTGAGCAAGTTAGAGAGAAGCACAACAAGGAATAGGATTACAGCACTAATGAAGAGCCTTCCAACAAAGAAAAGCCCAGGACTGTAGGGATTCCCTGCTGAATTCTTCCAAACCGTTAAAAAAGAGTTATCTCCATGCCTTTTCAAATGTTTTATGAAATAGAAAGGAAAGGAACACTACTATGAAACCAACACTATCCTGATACCAAAACTAGGTTAAGGACATAACAAAGAAACCCATCCATCAATTTCCTTGATGGACACAGATGCAAATATCCTCAATAAAATGCTTGAAAGTTGAATTCAATGGCCTATTAAAATGAATTATCATCAACTGTGAGCCACGTAGGTTTCATTCCAAGGATACAAGGATGGGTCAATAGCATTTAAATCGATTTAAGGTCAGAAATCATCCAATCAACTGAAACGAAGGCCTTTGGGAAAATTTAGCATCCTTTATGAGGAGACCATCCTGAAGAAAGTAACAGAATGAATATACCTCAAGAATTCTCATCATGTCCCACGTGGGTGTGACAATGGCTAAAGTACCTTGCTTTCTCTGGGCAGAAGATCTCTCTTGAGCAATCCTCTTAAACGGTGAAAGTGTGAGGGTGTGTGGAGCGGCCAGGCTCGAGCCAAGCTGCACACTCATGCGCATGCGTGCCCCCCTCCCTCCACCACCTGCCTTCCAACACCTTCTTCAGTTGGTTCTGAGTCTACCACCTCCTGCTGAGCTGCGCCTCAGAGGTGGTGACTCTGGACAGGCATCCTCCTCGGTAGTCATCGGTGTAGTCCGAGGGCCTGTGGTCTGAGAAGTCCCGGGGGCTTTTGTACAGCACCAGAAACATCCTAAGCAATGGCATCCATCCGGAAAAAACTGGTGATCGTGGGCGATGGGGCTTGTGGAAAGACGTGCTTGCTCATCGTCTTCAGCAAGGACCAGTTTCCTGAGGTTTACGTGCCCACGGTGTTTGAGAACTACGTGGCCGATATCGAAGTGGATGGAAAACAGGTGGAGTTGGCCCTGTGGGACACAGCTGGACAAGAAGATTATGATCGCCTGAGGCCGCTCTCCTATCCCGACACTGATGTCCTCCTGGTGTGTTTCTCCATTGGCAGCCCTGATAGCTTTGGGAACATCCCGCAGAAATGGACTCCAGAAATCAAGCATTTCTGTCCCAACGTGCCCATCATCCTGGTTGGGAGCAAGAAGGATCTTCGGAATGACAAGCAGACAAGACAAGAGTTAGCCAAGAGGAAGCAAGAGCCGATAAAACTTGAACAAGGCCGAGATTTGGCAAACATCATAGGCGCTTTCGGGTACGTGGAGTGTTCTGCAAAGACCAAAGATGGAGTAAGGATGGTCTTTGAAATGGCCACAAGGGCTGCTCTGCAAACGAATCGAAGGAAGAAAAAGCCTGGATGCTTCATCTTGTGAAGCTTAGTGCAAGTAAAGCCCTGGTGCAGTTAATTTTCAAGTGCTGCTTACTAATCTTATTGTGCTAGCCTTTTGGTTTATTTATATGCCCGAGATAACAAATCAGAACTCATCTTGATACAAGTGTTTAGAAGGCAACCATGATTACTAAACATGTCCAATCTGTCCAACTTGCCAGGATCCCGATTCTTAACAGCCCATTCTGCATTCCACCTGAAACACCAGGCACCAGTTGAAGAATTTACTATTTCTAGAAAGAGAAACGGCAACTTTGTTAGTAGACTAACTACTTTCTGAAGTGTCCAACCTATCATCTGTCAGCTGCGAAGAATTCTGAGTCACCAGTTCAGACTTTACTGCATAACAACTTTGCCATCTTTATTTTTGTTCAAACCTTTCTCCATGCAGCTGCAGTATACTAACCGATCTGTGATTTCATGTTGGTTACCGTTAGTGTGTGATTAGTGCCATTTAATGTATATTACAGGAATAAGAACATCTACCCCAGACTAGACGTGGCATTTTTGGTATAATTGGATTCCCTAATACTGATATTTGTCATTCCCACAGCAAGTGGTTGAAAGAAAGAATTTGGAAATAAAGTCAAATGGAAAAATTAATTTTTAAAAATTTCCATCTTTACTTTCTCTGATAACATAGAGCCACATCTCCCCCTTTTTAGCCCTTTACACCCAGTACCCTTTTCCAGAACTGAGCTAAGTAAATAGGAATCCAGTCTCACATCTAAGGCAATGGGACTTTGAAGGTGGCCCAGTCTTTCTCAACTGGTACGCAGTGTCTGGGTCTAAGTCACAGTGCCTCCCAGAGGCACTGTTCTGATAGATGGCATGGGATGTGAAGGTGGTCTTTTTCTCCAAGGTGACTGAAGTTTTGTCTGTATGAGTTAATTTTTCCAACTAAAAGAATAAATGTAGTTTTCTAAATGGATGTATGCGTGTGTGTGTGTGTGTGTGTGTGTGTGTGTGTGTGTGTG